CATGTGACTTAAAGCACCAAATACTTCTTCCATTTATTATATCATTAGCATCATCATCTCCACTACCACCATCTCTTTTGTGATGCTTCATGTTGACAAGCATAGTTCTGCTGGTCACAGCTAGTTCACTGATGCAAATTGTAGCCAGCAGGGGGATCAGTTGGTCATAGTGTTTAAAGGGCCTCACTAAAGTCTTAGTTGTGATGCTGGAGTCCAGGCAGTTGCTTTCAATGTAATCATATCTTCTGAAGCTGCTTTAGAAAATTGAGATATCAGAGTACAGAGAAGGCAAAATTGCTAGGTTAAATTGAGAATTTACATAACACTCCTACCACATTGTTATTGTGCTCATTGTTTGATTTTTTGTTGTTGTTGTTGCTGTTGTTAAACTAACAACAACAACCTAACAAATAGAAAATTGTTTCAATTCTAGTCAAGGGGTGAAGAAATTTTTACCCCCTATTTCTAGACAGGCAGTATGGTAGTCCCACTGTGAAAAGCAGTGGATATGATTAGTTCGGATTCATCTGAGACTAGTGATTTAACAACCTGCCACACTGAGTAATCTATCTTTAATATAGCTCATAGTTTCCAAGTGCATTTGCTTGTCTTCCTCAACTGCCTCCTTCCATGCCCTTCCTTATTTTCGCTTCCTCACCTGCCTCTCTTCACCTATTCCCCTCATCCTTCCTACTCACTTGCCTCTTCTCATCTGGCCCTCTTTACCTGTCCTCCTCATCTTCCTCTCCTCACCTGCCCTTTGTCTACCTTCCCAGCTCTTTTTCTCCACTTGCTTTTCTTCTCTTGCCCCTCCACACTTTCCCCTCTTCAAATACCCTTATCCACCTCTGGCCCTCCTTACCTTTCCATCCTCATTTCCCCCTCCTCTCCTGTCTCTCATCTCCTCCTCATCACCTCCTCCTCATCTCCTCTTCCTCAGCTCCTCATCCTCATCATCTGCCCTTCTTTGTTCTCCATCTTTATAGTTCAGGAAACTTAAGATCTAAAATGTAAGTGATGCACCCATCCAGACAGTTTCAAGACTGATCTAAAGTTAAAGATTGTCAAAGAAAGAATCATGAAGCTGGCCACAGACCCATGCTGTAATTCCAAGCACTTGGATGGTTGAGGCAGGATTGGTAGTTCAAAGCTATATAGTGAGATCCTGTTTCAGAAAGAAACAGGTGTGGTGGCACATGCCTTTAACCCCAGCACTTGGGAGGCAGAAGCAGGTGGATCTCTGTGAGTTCAAGGCCAGCCTGGTCTACACAGTGAGTTCCAGGACAGCTGGGGCTACAGGGAGACCCTGTATCAAAAAGGCCAAAAAAAAAAAATTATGAAGATAAGACATGTAGACACTCCTGATTTTTGAAAGAAAGGGGTGATAAAACTCAATCATAAACTGGAAAGTATAACAGTCATCAAAGTTAAAACATATGACTTTATTAATCCAATTTATGAAATATATTAAAGTAACAAAGCTAATTTTATAACTTAATACGTCTTTAGGAAAAACTTTAAATAAAAGTGATTTTCTCTTCCAAATTACAAATTTACTTTAGAGTAATTATGAAAAATCAATTGATAGTTACTATGTAAGAACTAAACTTGGTGATCTGAGTTTGATCCCCTAGACCCATATAGTAGGAGAACTGAATCCTGCACATTGTCCTCTAAGCTACACACACACACACACACACACACACACACACACACACACATACACACACACACATTTTAAAAAAGAAAACTTAATTGCAGGTACTTAAAAACTAGTGAGATTTCATAATTTTCTATATATGCAAGCTATTATAACTTCAATTCTTGCAAAGTCTTTAGCTCAGATATTTCTTATATGACAACAAACGTGATGCTTTGATTTCATCTTGGGATGAATGGCGCAACATGGGTAGACGCATTCACTTCCCCTTCAATGGTATGATTTCCTAGTAAAGTTTAGCTGCTAACTCTAATTAGACACTGGCTATTATCTACTACACTTGAATCTATCTGGGAAAGTGAGATAAGAATGATATGAAAAGGTTTTGTTCTTGGGAGTTACCATTTTATATATCCATATAAGGTACATACTAGTAGAGAATTTTAAAATTTAACTCTTCCTGATCAGGAAAAGAGTGTATCAGGCTAAGTGAATTAGATCCAAGCTACCATTTTGTTTAATTAAATCTAAATTTGAAAGAAAATCATTAGAGTGACTATATAATGAACAGAGAACAATAAATATTTAAATAGAAGCTCATGATTCCTTTTACAGGACTAAACTGATAATGTTTACTGTAAAATAAGGAGAAATTTCATGAAGCTCTACACCACCTTACTTCTATCCTTGTTCCTTAGATTTCTAATTTTTAGCCCATAAAGAAAATGCCCATATCTACTTTAGTGTTCTGTCTAGGTCAAAGTTAGTAGCAATCATGCATGGAGCCCTGCTTTCGATCCCAGCACCACACAAGAAGCCGGAGGATAAGATAGGCAGCAAAAACCCAGTCTCCAAACCAAAACGACCAAAAAATTCCCAAACCCCCAAACAAAAATTAAACACCTTCCGAGAATAAGTGAATTAACCCCAAACATAAGATTGAAAAAGAAAAGAGCTATTTAAAACCCAGAGTGATAAGGTCTTGAAGGCAAAGTCATTTTTGAAGGTCAACAGGAAAAAACGTGCTCTGGTCTTCAGATCTCGTTTCACAGTCCATTTATTTTTTCCAGCATGTAACTCATTCTCCTGTTTTTTGGTGAAGTTTGCCTCTGGGGGCAAGGATGGAAGGAGAAAGAGAATGTGCATCTCTGCAAAATAGTCCATATAATATTCCTTACAAGTTACAAATTTTTTTCTTAGTCGGCATACAGATTACCATTCACTTTTTTTCTTACTACTTCACTGGTTCTCTTCTATCTACAGCAGAAAAGTATATGGAATTAATGAGATGTTCTCTCAGCTTATTATTTAAGGACACAGTTTGAAACGTGTGATTCGTGGTTATGCACATATCAAATACTTATTCTCACAAAGCCTGAGCCTATTCTGAGGAAACAGTCAACAATGAATCCCCGTTCCTCCCATCAATCTATGAATATTACTGATTCCAAGGCCGTTCCCACTATGGAGCAGCTGCCCGTTTGGAAACAGCCAGTGCTATCTATGATCCAGAATTGTGTATCTAATTATGTCCTTCTTTTATTTATACTCACCTTTAGAAATACCTGCCTCAAATGGGGCCATCAGAAAGTTGTTTAAGCTTGATTATTTTGGAGAGCATTATTATCTCAACGAATTACTCCTATAGTTCTGATTTTGTAAGTCATATCCCAGTATATTATCAGATAATCTATCAAGTAATTGTTTTCTGATAAGTAAACCAATAATGTAACTTCATCTCTTAAGTAGCCATCTTTTCAAGTAGTAAATTTAGGGGATGGCGAAATGCCGCCGTGGTTAAGAGCACTTACTGCTCTTCCACAGGACACAGGTTTTTTTCCTAGCACCCACCTGGCTGCATAAAATTTCCTCTAAGGCCAGTTCCATCCAGCACAGAGCTCATGCTCTCTTCTTGCCTGTGTACGCACCACAGTCACGTGGGACACAAACAACTATAAATATACAAAAACAAAAAATATTTTAAATAATTAGTAAATTTAGTCACAGATTATAACTGTGTCTCTTTTTAGTTCTAAAACAAATAGAAGGCTCCATATCTACAACGTTGATTTTTGCAAAAACTTGGAAACTTGTTTCTGAAAACTTGTTCATGTCTGTGTATTAATTTGCTCCTAAATTTTAAGTTTTTGATTTTCTTTATGCTCAGAAGTTGAGACACAAAGTCAACAGTATCTGAAAAGTAAGGAGGCAACAAATGTAGGCTTGCAGATCCAGTGCTAACTATAATAATTCCATTTTATAAGAGGAGTGGGAAGATTTATGTTGTGTGCGGAGACTGAAAATGATAGTATTTGGTTTCATCTCTATTGTTAAGCAGCTGGGTTACTGTGATTTACCTGTTAGGCTTTTCTGTCTACATTTGTAAAATTTAAAACCAAAAAGGAACAGAGGGGTGAAGAGTGGGGAGGATTTGAAATCCCGGCTTCAAAATTTCTCATTACTGTGACATTTAAAAATCTGGATTTTACTTAGGTTCATTGTTGCACAATTTCCCATAATTCTTTACGTTGGTGTAATCCATTTAGGGTCCAGCGCAAGGTATAAACATTTAAAATTCTTACCCATTTATTAATGTATCACTTTAAAGAGTTTTAATCTAATTGCTCTGGAAGAGTTTTAAAGGTTAAAGGGTCTTTCTTATCTCCTGCTGGGAAATTTGTCTCAAAAGCATGTGGGGTCTTCCTTCTGCATTTTTAACTACCTGAACCATCCTTTCCTAGGCGCTTGTAAAATCCTCCCACCTTCCCTGAAAAAAAAAAAAAAAAGAAAGAAAGAAAAGAAACTACAAATCCCAGGAGGCCAACCTACGGACACCGCCCCTGCCACCCCCTTCCTCCCCCTCCCCGTTAGAGCCAGTCCACGAAAACTCCGTTGAGGCATCCCGGAATATGCCTGAAAGAACGGTCCGCCGTTCGCCTTGGCCTTTCGCCGCGGCCTCTCCGGGCGCCTTTAAGCGGGTGTGGAAGGCGCGGACTAAGAGCCGCGCGACGCAAAGCCGGGTGGGCGCGGCGGGCATCACCTGTTCACGGCGGCGCACGCGCAGTGCGGGCGCGGCGAGGGGGCGGGGCGCGGGGCGGG